CCCCAAGGCAGCTGTCCTGGACCTCCAAACTCTAGATGGACGCTTTAACCAATTATGTTAGTCAGTTTCCTGGTCGCCAGATTAACCCAGTCCAGTTCTGCTACATAACCACCAGTCCATCAATAACTGGAGACAACAAAAAGAGATATACATAGAAATTGTCAATACAAAGCAACGAAAGCAGACCAGGGGTACATTCGCATATCCAGTTGAAATGGTTGAACCTGTAAAGAAAACGACAGGCACAGATCTGGACTGCGACTGATCTCAGTAAAAATTTGGCACGTGTAGATTTAGGGGTCCCGACGTACCTTGCGGAAACTAAAATTCTGACTATTGCCAGTTTGCGTTATTTCTTTCTTAAACAATGTCAAGCCACATGTAGTTTTTAAGATACGTTATGTTATTCAGTGGGCATAATATTCTGGATGCATTGTTTTTTATTTTCCGAAACTGTGCATTTTTAGCTCTGCTTATAGAAGGGTCCAAGTGCGTTCGTTTATCGTGGAATATTTCTGCGCCACACATACCGTTTCAACCTGGATACGCGAATGTAGCCCAGGGTACTGAATGTAACTTCACCAATTATTTAATTGCAGTACTTGATAAAGCTCTAAAAAAGAACTTTTCCTAATTAGGGGCTATGACCTGGGGTGTAAACCTTATATGTCCTGGAATACAACAAACTGTTTATGATAAAGAACCAGATGTCTGTGTTGTATTAAAAATTATATTTGCTAATTTTCTAACATTGTTTTCCAGGTGTTGACTTGGTGCCTATACGTCCTGTCAGGAACTGTAAGACCCTCGTAGAGGACATCACATCAGATAAATGTAGACAGGTATTATAGATTTATTTATGACCTGAAGAAACAAGTACACAAGACTAACCACTAGGCCTTTCTGCCTTTGTGGGCTTGCTCAGGTGGACTGACATTTATTAAGTCAATGTCGGTTAAATGACGTCTATTAATCAATTTTAGCGACGTCATAAACAATATACCAGGACAGAGAAAACATGAACATTCAACACATGGAAAAAAATGATAACACATTGTCATAATTATATATATATAAATATATATATTATTTATAATTAAATTAATATATAATTATATTATTATATTTAGTTCTATATACACATGCAAGCTATACTTTCTGGTCAGATTTGAGAGACATTTATCTGCAAGCTTTATGTTCACTTATTTGTTGCGAATTCAATGAATGTGCGACGGTGAATGTTATATACAGTATCAGTTTTAATTTCTTTTTAAAGAAAAAAAAATTCCATGTAAGACTTTGTCTTTACAAACTGATTACTTATAAATGAAAATAAACTGAGTAAACAAAATTTTGAGAATTCTGTTAATTTTTGAAATAATTCTGACATGCTGACAAACATTCCCAGATATCTCATTACCACTGTGTACTACACATTTCTTTCATTTGAATCATCAGTGGATAGCTTTATCGTTGATGTACATGTGTTTGATTTGGGGAATTTTGTTTGCCACACAGTCATTAAAGAAAGAGTTACAGACATGGAAAGCTGACTCTGTGATTCATGACGGCGCTGGAAATGTTGGAAAAAACTGGCTCCACGATGCTTTTCAACAAGGTGACACACCTAGGATATAGCACATTTATAATGGCTGAGGCAGCGACTTGTTCTTCTATCTCTTTTTGCATGTTTAATCCCTTCAGCCATAGTAAGGTTTACAGGACATAAATTTAGAGACCTCTGTGTCTTGTATCCTTGTATTTTTTGTTCCTGACGAAAATAATAAATTAAATCAAGAAACATATCAGAAAAATGTGTATAAAAGTAATTTATGTTGAAGTTTAAATGTCATAAAGTAAAAATAAAACTCAAAATTTAAAATAGGTTCCTGATGGTTTTTGGCATTACTCTGCTATTTATTTGTTATCTGTGTACATTTGTGCATTTACATTATGTGATGGAAATTGTTTTTTAGTTAGAAATAGAGATACTAAAATTTGCTTCCCGTATTCATTGCATAATCTTATCATTATCGTATACAGCTCACCTCACCCTACAGGCCTTGAAGCTAGCCACAGAATTCCTGAAGAAAGGTGGCTGGTTTGTCACTAAAGTTTTCAGATCGAAGGACTACAACTCCCTGCTATGGGTGTTTCAGCAACTATTTCAGAAAGTCCACGCCACCAAACCACAGGCTTCTCGTAATGAGTCGGCAGAAATATTCGTTGTCTGTGAAAAGTTCCTGGCCCCCAGCAGAATTGACCCAAAGTTCTTAGATGCCAAGTTTGTGTTCAAGGAGGTTGATATGGAGCCAAGACAGATGATTAACCTCATACATCCAGAGAAAAAGCGACGGTAGGTGTTATGAGTCACATGATTATTGCTAGGACAGGATTCAATCTAGGATTTAGGGGAATCTACCGTTTTTTCAGATTTGGGGAAAATCAACATTTTGATACAAGGCCTTAGCGTCATCAAGATTAAAGATAAACGTTTTTTCCGACATGCATGTGTGCAATATATTTCAATTTATAAACAATTTTAAGCTTATATTGTAGATTTTTTTTTAAATTATATGAAAAAAGTTAATATATGCAGTATTATGCATTGTAAACTGTAGGACTTAAAAGAAAAATCATATAGGGGAAATATTTTGAAGAAAAAGGGCTATTTTCTTGTTGGAATAGGTGAATCTTAATGCACATTGGGGGAATTTCAAAGAACAGGGAAATTTTCTTCTGAAGGGGAAACAACCCATAAGTGGAAGTGGATCAAGTCTAGATTGACCCATGTAGGAAATTGACCAGCTCTATAAATAGAGAACAGTATATAAATGTAATAGCAATAGAAATATGTTGTATCACAAATTTATTTTTCCTCATCTGAATGATTAATTGAGTTCAACATTGGGGCCAAATCGTTCAAAGAATTGTTAGTTTGACAAGCATTTAACTGTAATTTTGAAAATAGAAAAAATATTTCAGATTTATATGTGTTTATATTTGTTCTTATATTTCCCTACAGAAATTGATTTTGAATCCTCATGCATTCAAATGTATTAATGAATTTTGATACATTTTTGGCATTATTATTATTATTATTTTTGGACAATACACTACATGAAATGTTTGTGTTTGTAACACATTAATCTAATCAGGCTTGGAGCACAACTAGGCCCATATTTTTTATTAAATAACTAAGATATAATACTCCCGTGTTTCATTTGTTGTGTCAAATTTATTGTTCAATAAATAAATGACATAGCCATTTTTTTTATTAAATCGCAATTTTCTTTCAAATTGTAAACATTCAAATTTCATCCTTGTATTAATTCTTTATTATATTTTTTTATCTTGAAATATGTATTGTTAAAGAATAACCGATTACCAAATATGTGATTTTAGATTGTAAGTTCAATACATGGGAGAATTTCATTACTGTAAACAATAATGTTATTTTGCTGCTGTGTTAAATTTCCAATCAAAATTACATTCACAGTTAAGACTTTACTTAAGCTCGCTGCAATCATCTCTAAGAATACATTTTAAAACTTTAAATCCAGTTCTGAAATTGACTGTCCTCACTCTCTCAGGGTGAAAAGGCAAACATTCTAGCTTTACAGTATTACATGATAAACATCTTATAAACCATGTACTTTTTTGTGATGTAAAATTTTAATAACCTCATTCCGTTCTTGACATGTGTTGACCAATCAATATATATAGTATACATGGTGTGCTTGTCTTTCCTTGCAGACATCGTGATGGTTACGCAGAAGGGGACTACACTCTGTATCACACACTCAAAGTCTCGGAGTTCATAGATAGTGACAATCACCTTGACTTAATGGCCCAGTCCAATGCTGTGAGTATAAATCAGATTCAAGGCCTCAGTTCTGACAACCAAAACATTCACCCCTAGGGTCAGAGATTTCTCTGTAAGTAGTCCCATCATTGATTGAAAAATATGCTAAAATCAAATTTTCTTTCTATCAGTTATCAAAAAATTAGCATTTGAGAGGACAATAGATTGTAAAGGGGGAAGATCCCAGGGCTCCTCAACTCTGGCATCCTCTGTAAACACTTGCTGAGGAAGTAAAATATTTGAACCTTTAAAAAATAAATTTAAAAAATGCATGAATATTCTGCATCTTTTATATAGTACGTTTGTATTATTAACATATAATTTTATATTTTTAGTTCAATTAATATATTTTTTATCTCAAGTATGAACATTTTTCTGAAGGAACATATTTCTCGTGAATAATATGCTAGTTTTAATATGATAACTGTTACATGCTGCATGTAAACCTGAAGTTTTAGTGGCACTTTTTATGTCCATGGCTGTTAACTGCTCTCACTTTAATAAGTTTGATGTGAAGTTGACCAGGCAGGACAAATAATTCAGCTCAAAGTGTAAGAAATGGACCTCTTGTTTTCATGACAGTTGGTATTTGATGATGACAGAATAGCAAAATTACCAGAGACGACAGAGGAAATCAAGGAATGCCTAGGGGACTTGAAGGTGCTTGGAAAGAGGGATATCAAGTAAGGAAATCACTGACTTAACTTAACGATTCCCGTATCACTGCCGAAATCTGTAACCTAGGCCCCCTTCCGTGTATCCTGTTCAACTGGTTTGTCTGTTTTTAAATGTAACATTTCGGGTATAAATCCTGGCGGACCTGCAAGGCTTTGTGGAGGCTCGCCTGAAAGCAGCATCAGGCTACCGTACTAGGTCCGACCTTATTTCATAAACGATGAACTCGGGTTCAAACGTTTGGATTGATATAAACAAATGTGGCCTAAGTGTGAGAAACTTTTTTCCCCGCATGATGATAATTTGATAAATCAGTACTTAAAAGAAAACCATACCTTGAATGACTTTTATGAGAAATAATAAAGATGAAATAAACAAAATATAATCAACAACAGTGTTCTGTGTGGGAAAAAAATCAGCGAGGCTAGACCGGGGTTCAAACACTGGACTTCAGATTATTATTCTATCTCTCTAACCAGGGCCGTTTTCGGTTATTGCGGTCCAAAAGGTTGAACCGGTTGGACCAGAGTTATTCATTTATGAAATAAGGTTGGACCCAGTAATATGATGGTGCCTTCAGGCCAGCCTTGACCAAGCCTTGCAAGGCCTGCATAAACTTAGGTCTGCCAGGATTTATAACTCGAAAATGTCACATTTAAAAATGGACGTACCAGTTAAGTAACAGGCCCCAAATGAGCTACTAGGTCAACAGTAGTGTATTGGCACAACTGTGCTATATTGTTATGTCTAGATGAAGTTAAGGGGAGGTTACTCTAAATATGAAAATCAAAACGCAGTGCAGTAGGATACGGATCCTTAAAAAATAATCTATGTTATACTGTATGCTGGAAAATCTTCATTACAATTGAACTTATGCTGTTTGTGCCCTCCGTTATGAGTGGGAGCTCATTGTGACGGCTAGTTTTATTACACAGCTTGTTATACAGATTATTTCTGCCGTTAAGAGTGAAATTAACTGGTATAAGTTCTGCTACATAAGGGAAACTTTTTTTCAGGGCAAAATATTCCCATGATATTGTACTGCAAGTAGGTATGGTAGAGATGTTCTGGGCTGAACCATGCTACAACAATTTAACATTTAAATGAGGGGTTGTATCTCAATTCTGAGGTTGTTCTCAACCTGTTATAGCATGTAGTCATAAATCTGGACCAGTCATTTGCCAATAAGAAAATCACAGAATGACCCTCAATAAAATGTATTGACTGCTTGTAACCACTCCATAATACCTGAACCAGTTCTATAGATCTAATCTTAACCCTTTCGGCACTGTAGACCATAATGGACTCATCCAGATCAATGCATGGTAGAGTCTACTAAAGTTACATAGGGGTGAAAGGGTTAAACAGATAAACAATGGTCGTGACTTGTTGTGAAACCTCTACGCAAGCATAAGTTTGAAGGTAAAACCAAGTCTTTTATTCCACTTTTTTGCAGATTACTGATCAAGTGGCGAACACAAGTCAGGAAGAGTCTGGGAAAGGACGAGGAGTCGAAGGATAAGACGGAAGACAAGTAAGTTTAGACAACGTCTTCACTGGTATTTCAGTGATGTCTGACTACTAGCAAAGTGACCTGCTTCTCTCAAGACAGTAGGAGGAATACTTTATACAGACAGCAATCTGACTTCAGTTCAACAAATTTTTAAGGATTGTTTTGATTTTTAAGCCGCTCTTGGCGAGAGCCGAGCGGCTTATTACTTCTGTCCAGTGAACGAAATGACGGACCCACTTCCATTTGGGGTGCGTGCGCATAATTCAGTCTTGCATGCTTCCGTTATATAGTTTCGTTATCGTAAATAGAAAGTAGAATCTCTGACACTCATCTGTGTCTTCTGATACTCTTCTCCAAATAATAATACATTCTTTAAATAATTGCCGAAAACAAAAAAACAAAATGTTTATCTCCGGTGCATTCTACGAGTGTTGTGGTGGTGAAAACTAAACACAAATAGGAATGTTTCATTTGTACACTGGGTTTGAGCATTTTAGCAACTCGAATTGAGGTCTGAGGGGTGTTTGTTTCACACACGTAAAGATTAAAGTGTTTTTGTAACTCTGATGTGAAGACTGTCAAGCATTGACGCTGTCTGTACGGTCTAGCTTTTTATATTTTGTAAGGACAAGGAAGTAAACATATATACTTATAAACCGTATGAGTGATGAAGTATTTATAACCTCTATTTTGATGTTTCAAACGGGAACGTAATATGACATAAACTATCGTTGCTATCAAGGACGTGGCTCTGAGACGAGACGATATGTGAACTGTGTATGCTTATCAAACATTTGTGTAACACAGCATGCTTTATCTGGTGTATTTATTTATGAAAATGTAACAATTTAAGAGCATGACACAACTTCCACTGCTGTTTGACAAGAATTCGCGCTGTGTCAAAATATTATCCAATCTGGTGTAAGGGAAATAACTCTTCCGTTGGTAAAGTCGCATTGAGAAATATAATTTAAATATATTCCAAGAACATTTGTGATGAATTGTATATTCAATGACAGTAAATAAAGTCACTACATATATTAATATGAATAAAAAATAAATAAATATAAATGGAGTACAATGTCTCTTTTCTCCATTCATGTTTTCCCACTACTGTTAATGATTCTTCATTTCACAAGCACAAAATGCACCTATTCTTTATAACCCATTCACTGATTACCATTCTACACGTAAATTCTCATGTAACATCATTGGAGGATGCTAATTAATGAAAATTACAACAATGCGTGAAAAAAAGAAGAGAGTTAGAAATGTTTTTAAGGCATCATTTAAGAGGTGATTGATATTGAAAATTCCAAATTTAAAGGCAACATAAGCACATGACCTGATTTTCAACCAGAACACATATCTGAGGTATTATAGTAGATATTGATGCTTAACGAGTTACTGAAGCAGTTAAGTTTAAAGTGGTGAGCGGCTTTAATGTCACACTGACATAATTCTAGTTTCTGATTTTCTCTACATATAACTATCGTATCAATTACCAATTCAAGTTCAGTTTTGTTGAAGAAATGCTATATATTTTTCATGAAACTTTCTACACGCACCTATGGTATCACTTACCTGCTAAAGTTCGATTTTCACCTTATCTGAAAATTAACATGACTGCCAGTGGCAATTTTGGATTTATTGAAAAGTCTCATGTTTTTTTGTGTGCTGCTGCAATCTGACCAATAATACAACTGACAGCAAATATAATGCATTTCATTCCTTCCTGATGTCAGCAACCATTCCAAGTCGGGACTGGTTACAGATCCACTTCTGTGGAACTCTTGTTTTAATAATCTGGCGTCAGTGAGGCACATATTGTCTATGGGAGATCGTAGTAGGTCCATCCCGGTACAAATGCAGATTTGAATCTGAATTTCAATGTTTTCAACAATATACCAGATAGAAGTTTTGTGTTAACTTGTCATCACTTAGATGTTTAACAAATGGCCGAGTTTTTCAATACTTTGACTCCGGAGAGATATTTCTTTTTTCCTTATCTGATCTATCTGTGCACTTACGCTGCAGGGTTGAGGAGGTGGTAGAGGACAGTGAAGACGAAGAAGCTCAGATAGAAGCCCAGCTGGCCGAGGCCAAGGACGAGGAAAGGAAGGTCCTTAAAAGGTAAGGTCACTTTCTGGTATTCTGAGGTCAATATCATCATAAGGTGAAGGGTCACATTTTGAGGTCAATATCATCATAAGGTGAAGGGTCACATTTTGAGGTCAATGCCATCAAAAGGTGAGATGGCACATTCTGCAGTCAATGCCATCATAAGGTGAGAGGGCACATTCTGAGGTCAATATCATCATAAGGTGAGAGGGCACATTCTGAGGTCAATATCATCATAAGGTGAAGGGTCACATTTTAAGGTAAATTCTGCAGTCAATATCATCAGAAGGTGAAGGGTCACATTCTTCATAAAAAAACATAACGTTTTATGTTTATACTGATCAAAGTCTACCCGGGCAATTGCTCTTTCCAAAGATAAAATCAATATCATGATTACATTACATTACACCTTATATATCTGAGAAAGTGAGCTGAAAATATCCTGATACAAGATTGACTCTTTTCCCTCATTTCCCTGTGTGTTAGATAGAGCTGTCCAGGGTAAGAAAGGGGTGTAAGAAATTTTGATCAAGACCCCATTTCACGAGACATGACATCACAATGGCTCAACAATGACGTGACGTCAGGAATTTGGAAAACTCTGATGCCGCAATGCGGAAAAGGCGACGTGATGAAATTAAAACCTTTTACAATATATTTACCATACACGTTAGAAATATTAGAATTTTCTGCAAGATTCATTTTCGTCAAAAAAAGCTCGGGGGAGAAGTTTATATTTTCATAATGGTAGCCAGTTCAAACGCATTTTCCTGGTTCCTGAGCTTATTCTGGTAGTTGGAATGAGAGAAAAATACTCTCTCACGAAAAAAACCTGGGTGGAATTTCCCTATCCTACACCCCTGGGCATGAAGAGTCTTATAATATTCATGAAAAAAATCTTTAATCTTTTTACTTATGTAAATCTTTGTCTGAATAAATTTCTTACTATACATTAAAACTCTAGAAGTCTAGAATGCAGACTCTGGCTACAGAGTGCTACACTACAAATGGGTTAAGGTCACATCTAAAAATAGATTTTATAGGAGAGGAATAGTCTGCTATGAGAAATAATACAACTGCTCTTTTTACATATAGAAATGATGGAAGACAATATATGGTAATTTGGACATAAAATGACTATATTATAAAACAAATGTATAGTATACATTTTGAAAGTGAAAATTTTAAATACGAAAACTTCAATATATTTTTTACCAAAAATGACATTTTTGTGTGGAACTAAATAACTGAGATTTCTCTAATGTTGACGTCAATGACAAGGAAAGGTTCGCACCTATCACTCAACTGAAAACAAAACCACTGTCCCCAAACGAAATGTACAGCAACCCCACAATGGTATCACCAATGCATTACTGCGGTGGCACACATAAATGTGACCTTGACTTATATGGTTTTTTTGTGGTTGATAACATGCTGGATTACATCACTGATTGTTTGATGTAGGAAACTGAAGAAGGTGCGACGAGAGAAGGCTCGTCTACGACTGAAGATGGACATGAAGATGGTGATCCCAGGAGACAAATTTGACTTTACAGACGATGTTGGTCTCTTTAACCTCAACAAAATGAAAAGCAAGGCGGTCAGTAGATTTGCGATATTTTTCAAACTATCTGCTGTATAAAAACAACAAGGCTAATATTTCAAAAGTTATCAACTTTGGAAAAAAATAAATAGAAACTCTGTGAATCTTTCATAATCATTCGACAAGATCGTTGTTTTGGGATTGGCATTGTTTTTCATTTAATATAAATGTCCTGAATACAAGAATAATTAAATCTTGTATCAATACATGTATGACAAAGTCTTAAAAGAAAAAATAAGGGAAGTATTTAAAACTGTCCAAGGAGTGTTTATTACTTTATAGATGTTTTTATGACGTTTAAGTGCTTAAGATGGTGTTGGGAGAGAAAACATTGAAAACTCTCTGCAGTTTCCTTGTATTAAATATTAAGTAACCTTGTTCATTTCTCTGGTTCGTCACCATTACAGGATGTAGATAGGGTGGAGGCAGGTGAAAACCATTTTGCTGATGAGTTTGTATTGGATGAGCTTGAGGCTGACATGGAAACCACTTCACACCAGAAGCGAGAGACTTACGACCGAGATGGTCACGATCATATTGACGAGTTGTACTCATCGTCGGAGAATGAGGAAGACCTAGAGGAACCTGATTTAGAGGATGTGGAAGACGAGGATGATGCCGAAGAAGAGTGAGTGTTTATGGGGAATGAAACCAAAATTATACGGTATAATTTCATAAGAGTAGCTAATACAATGCCAGCTTCCATCTGTTTATACTGAAACTGAATAATGTTCCTAATAAGTCAATGAATTTGATCTTGAGCCGACAGGATTTTTGTTACAGTCATTTTAGGAAAGCGAGACATTTTTTAGTAAAAATTTACTTTCTGTAAAAATTCCTTGCTTTTACAGATTTGTAGTAATGTGAGGAAATCTGATTTCTGTACAACATTGCATTGTCGCCATCTCTTTAAGAAAATATCCTTAAACACATTTTCTATAAAAAAAAATAACCCAGGTACCAGTGAGGTACGTCTATAAAGTGTTTCTTGTCTGCAAAAGGTTGGGGTTAAATTTGAATATTTTTGAAAATATCCCTGACATAAAACACTCATTGTGTAATTAATTAGATCCTATACCTGACCAGCGTTGTGTTACAGTACGTGATTAATTTGAATTACTTTTGGTGACCATAGGGAGATGGAGTTTGAAGATGATGAAGAGGTTAAGAAAGACGCCAATCCATTGATAGTCAACTTGGAGAAAACCTCTACACAGGTGGAGCGCAAACTCAAGACCTGGTTCAACAAGGTAAAGCATAGCTGGGTCAAAGTTCAAAGTTCAATTTCCAATAGACAGTTATGCATTGTTGATGTCCTTGTATGACTGCTGTACACATCATTGGGATAAGTGTTCAAATAAAAACTAATCTGTAATAATATTTTGACAAATCTCGGGTTCTGTTTTCGGGAAAGGAAGTCATTGGAATTTCTTCTGTAAAATCAGCAGCAGAAATCTTTTGATTTCTGACCAATAATGTCATAAGTGCAATCCAAGTTATTTAGCATTTCACAAAATATTTTGTTTTGGATAATGATATATACTTGGGTATTTTTGGGTTATAAGTTCACTTCAAAACAATGTTGCATACATCTCTCAAGTCATGTTTCAATTCAAATGACCAAATATTATCTTTGATTATTTCTATATGCGACATGCAAAAGTGAAACCATTAAAATATATTATACGCTTATCTATAGATAAGATTTCAAGGTTCCATTTTGATTTATTTAACTTACAGAGATAGATGTCAGTATATATAGTGGTATGGACTGTATATCTATCTGCAATTTACTAGATAATTACAATAATTCAATTTGATAACTAGATCACTATTTAAGTTTATATTGAAAACAGCATTGTTGGGATAAGATTTAGACTTTTTTGTTTACTTAATGATAACAGGTAGCAAGGCCTGGTTAATTTCATAACTAAGGGATTTTTTTTTAAATTGAATTTTAAAAATACAACAATAATTTGTCAAAATAAATACCTTTGGATGGAATGTTTTTATAATTCATTTATACTCCGACATATATTCATTTATTTCTATGATGATATTCTTAGGGGAAAAAATGCTGAAGTATTTGCTAAAATTATCCATTTTCTTGAGACAGACTATTTTTTTTGTAGGTATAAAAAAAAATTAATAAAGAAAAAGAAAAGGGCTAGAAAATGAGCAATATCAAGGTTAAAGTAATGCTATTTATTCAGAACTAATAAGGTAAATTATTTTATTTTTTTCACTCTTGTTGAGAGTTTTCTTTCTCAAAGTGGTGTCTCGCACCATTGATGGGTTGGCCTTGGAAATGGTTCGCAGCGACGCGCTGTGATGGCAGGGTTAAAAAATAGATGCCATGCATATGGTGCATCATAAAATTTCTGGGGAGAACACTGATATAGTTGATCATATTTGTTTGTCGAAATTACATTAAGTGTTTCAATGGCAACGATATATATGTTGAATGGTTTTAAAATAATATCTGGAATGTTCCAGTGCAGCACAGTAGTGGATTAATCTTTCTCAAGCTGATCAAGCTATGACACCCAAAAATCTCTCAAGAAGGAATTTTTTAACTGTGTAACCTTGGGCTGATTCATCTGTGGGTTGGGCAGTCAAGAATCCCCTCAGAGGGGGAACATTTCTCTCTGCTACCTGCAATGTAAGGAATGATCCTTTGCCCCCACATTTTCCTCAAAATCACTTTTTATTCAGAAGCATAAAACCAATATGTTGAGTGCCGGGTTTTGCAGCAAATCCATTTTTTTTTTTTTATCAACTGTTGTTTACATGAGGTCATGCCATTGTTATGACCGGGAAATCCTCTTGTCTTTACCCTGGAGTAAGGCAAAATATCTTTTCCCTGAATTGTGGATATCTTTGTCCAATGGAGAAGAAGAGAGTCATCTTCCGTTCTGTGAATGATGTGTAAATGTCGTAGTATCTGACTGTGTGTCACACTTGCCACAACCCAGTGTTGGTTAAGTTTGGACATTTTATATAGTAATGAATTCTAACTCGGTGTGCAGTAGAAGTTGATCATTTTTGACTAAACCTGGTACTGGACAACTTACATTACACCTCTCAACAGAGTCTTTAAACAAATTTGATAGATATTATTTTTCCCAGGGCAACATGTTACCTACAGTATAAGTATCACCTCTGTATCAAATTAATAGTTTCATCAAAAGGAATAGATGACCATGACAACGTTATGCTGGGTATAACCGCTTTAATCCAAGTTTACGCTGACTAGTTTCGACACATGAGGCATGTCTTCATCAGAACGTATGAATGTTAGTAAAATAAAAGGGGTGGGAGGGATACATTTGGGAAGTCACCACTGAAGTTTTAGGAGAAATGAAAGAGGGTGAAAATACTTTCATTCACATGATGTAAGATCAAATGCAGACAGCACTCATATTATTTGTTTTTTTCGAAAGGTGATCGTTTTGATAATTGTTTGTATTAGTGACAAAGAATTTGACAATTAATCTTCACAGGAATCTTTCGCGGGTTTAGAGGATGAGGCTGATGAGGATGTAGAAATTGAGAAAATGATGGAGGACTACAAACGACGAGGAGGTACCATTACAGGTAAAGTGCTAACAGAGGTGTCAGGCGGTACCATTACAGGTAAAGTGCTAACGGAGGTGTCAGGAGGTACCATTACAGGTAAAGTGCTAACGGAGGTGTCAGGCGGTACCAGTACAGGTAAAGTGCTAACGGAGGTGTCAGGTGGTCTGGCTTTTAAGTCAGGGCTGTGAGTTTGAATCTCCAAAAAATGTATTTCATTTAACATCAAACATTTACTTTATATGTACATATACATATTAAACGTGGAGCAACATTTCAAGACCGACTGGTCCTTTTGTTAGGCTATGACTGAGTGAGCGAATTTTATTGTTTACCTGTACAACGATAGGCGAAATGCCCGGTCAAGTGACATATGAAACATGCAATTTTTGTCACATCGTTGTATTGTAAACAATACAAATCGCTCACTCAGTCATAGCTTGACAAAGGGACCAGGCGGTCTTGAAACATTGCGACACGTTTAATACATACATTGTTCCTTTTTCATATGAGATTTATGAAACTCATCACAAATCTTGAAAGATTCTGCCCCATACTTATTATTACCGTTGCAATAAGCCCAGAGGCCAACAAATAATCTTTGATGAAAGGTACTGGTAAGGGGTTACAGCACAATTAAATAGCAACTGGTGGCATTTCTATTGAACTGCAATAGATGTGGATGGGCTTATCACCAGGTATGGGCTTATTGCTGGATAAAACAGTACCATATATTTGTGAACTCTCAAAAAGACTTTTTCTGAAATATGTCATGCGTAACTGCATTTACAAAGCCTTGTTCCGCTGCACAGTGGGTTTATGTTTAAACCGTAACCCCCCTATAACTTCTGTTCAGCTATCACTGTCTACCGCAACTGAATTTCTGCATTCAGAACACTGTTGTTAACCCTTTCACCACTGTAAACCATAATGGACTCATCCAGATCAATGCATGGTAGAGTCTACTAAAGTTACATAGGGGTGAAGGGGTTAATTATATTTTGTTTATTTCATCTTGATTATTTCGCATAAAAGTCCCACATGGTATGGTTTTCCTGTCAGAAATGATTTATCGAAGCTACAGACATGCCGGCTAAAACTGTTTCAAACACTTAGCTACAGTTTTTAGCAGTGGTACAGGGATCCTTAAGTCCAGATGTGTTCCTACTACATTTGTTAGTGTGATAATAAAAAAAACTTGACAATTTTTTTTCAGGAAAAAAAGAGGAAAGTAAAGGAACCAAAAGCAAACAGACAACAAAGAAAGATGTCATTGAAGAGGGTGATAGTGGTGTGGAGGAAAACGAGGACTCCGATTCAGAAATGTCTGATACAGAGGACAAAGATGCTGAAAGTGTGGACAATGATAAGGATGATGATGATAGTGATGAAAGTGACAGTGAGAGTAGTGATAGTGATTTTGATACAACAGACATGAAAAAATCGGATCAGAAACATTCGACCACAGGCTTTGAGGAAGTTCCTGCAGGTATGTGTCATACTTGGCTAAAATTATAGACTCAAGATTGTGCATCACCGTAATTTTCATGCCAGCAATTTATATATAATTTGACAATGATACCTCTGGCACATATTATTTATTTCTTTTCCACTTTGATGTGCGAAGGAGTGAGATTTGTGCCGACAGTAAACCGAGGGATAATTAGCTACGCTGTATCACTGTAACAGTTGTAGTCAGTCCCCCTCTGACAGTTAACATGTTTTGTTTGAACCATCTACACTACAGGGAATATGCTAGCCCAAAAGAAGAGATCCATTTGGTTAAGGTGTTCGGTCTGTTAAATATATATATATACGGGGTAAACTTTATTTATTTGACAACAAATATGAAACAAGTTATTACAACTTATCTTAATCACTCTAGTTGGCCTGGATGTTAGTAAGTGGGGGTCTTAGTGTGGGAGGAAACCAGAGTTCCCAGAGAAAACCCGGTCAGGCAGAAAAGTAAGTGGGGGTCTTAATGGGGGAAGAAACCAGAGTACCCAGAAAAAAAACGGTCAGGCAGAAAAGTAAGTGGGGGTCTTAATGTGGGAGGAAACCAGAGTACCCAGAGAAATCCCGGTCAGGCAGAAAAGTAAGTGGGGGTCTTAATGGGGGAAGAAACCAGAGTACCCAGAAAAAAAACGGGCAGGCAGAAAAGTAAGTGGGGGTCTTAATGGGGGAAGAAACCAGAGTACCCAGAAAAAAAACGGGCAGGCAGAAAAGTAAGTGGGGGTCTTAATGGGGGAAGAAACCAGAGTACCCAGAAAAAAAACGGTCAGGCAGAAAAGTAAGTGGGGGTCTTAATGTGGGAAGAAACCAGAGTACCCAGAGAAACCCCGGTCAGGCAGAAAAGTAAGTGGGGGTCTTAATGTGGGAGGAAACCAGAGTACCCAGAAAAAACCCGGTCAGGCAGGTGACCCCATACTTGTTCACGTCTAATTAGTGAAAGGCAAGTGCATTGTCCACTGTGCCACCTGACCACCCGAAAACCTGGTCTGTTACATGTCCCTATTAAACATATCAGCCCCATGTTCCCAATCTCTGATTAGCCAGTTCTCACTGTAATGTGACCAGGTGCAGTGTCGTTCTTCAAGGTAAAAGTTGTGATATTTGATAGTGTACTTTTAAAAACCCTTTTAGTTTACTTTTAATGTTGTATGGCCCACCATCATCAGTGGACACCATCTTCACTGACCTTGGCTGTTTTGTAGCCCTAACATTTGTGTACAAAATCATAATACGACCTTAGCTGTCGTAAGGCCCCATCATCATTAGTGAACACCATCATCACTGACCTAAGCTATTTTGTAGCCCTATCATTTGTGTACACAATCGTAATACGACCTTAGCTGTCGTTTTGCCCTGTCATCATCAGTGGACACCATCCTCACTGACCTAGGCTGTTGTTTGGCCCTATCGTTTGTGGACACTGTCATCATATGTAACCTAGGCCTTTTTCGTTTAAACGGTCAAACCGGTCGGACCACTGTTGTTCGTTTATTAAATAAGGTCGTACCTAGTAATCTGATGCTGCTTCCAGGCGAGCCTTGACAAAGCCTTGCAAGGCCTGCATACACATTTGCAGGTCCGCCAGGATTTATACCTGAAATTGTTACATTTATGAAGGGTCAAACCGGTTGTTCCACATAAACAAACAGGCCCCTATAGCTAGCTGTAGACATGACATAAAAAAACCAACAAGCCTCCCTTACATGTCAATGTTAACAAATACTTTGATTGTCACTGGTAATTTCTAAAAGAATGTACATGGAATATAACTTACGCTTTTGTAGTCGGTCCCCTTCTGATGTCTCTAAGAAAATATCCGTCAATGATCCAACCGTTATGTTTTGAGGAAAACTTTAAAATATGTAGAAAGTAAAACAAATTGTTTTTGAAATGCAAATGGTGTTATGTTTAGAAAAGAAATTAATAGAAACTTCAGTCTGCTATATTTCATTTTAAAAACATTTTTTTTCGTTCTGTTAGGTTATATAGATGCTACAGGGCTGGCCATTGGAGCTGCTATGGTGCAGTCACGGAAACGGAAACGGGATATAGTGGACGGTGGTTATCACAGGTAAAGATACACTGGATCAAACTTTAGAGGATGACAAATACAATCTATTATTAGAAAATTCTTTCAAATCTTATTAACCCTTTCACCACTGTAGACCATAATGGACTCACCCAGATCAATGCCTGGTAGAGTCTACTAAAGTTACATAGGGGTGAAAGGGTTAATCTTCAGTTATACACAGATAATCATTTAAGATTGAAGTTGATTAGCAGATCAAACATGATTATCAGCATCATTTTGAGTTCATCGTATTAAATTGAGCTCTGACTTTCAGCTAAAGTAGCTATGGAAACATTGTTATTGAAAGTTCAGGTTCTATTTGAGCTCAAGTTCTTGTGACAGATAAGGCATTATTTTGAGCCCCTGGCATGAAGTGACCAGAGGGTTATAGATATACTCTCTGAAGCTGTCAAGGTACATATGTGTGCATGTCTTGAATAGTTGATTTGATTTTGTTCAACGTCCTATTAACATCTAAGGTCATTTAAGGACGTGCCTCCATGTGTGTTGTGTATGCGTGTATGTGTGCCGGAGACAGGGTATGTTTGTGTACTTGCCTCCTTGTAATAGCACGGATCTGATGCCGACTTTATAGTGCTATCTCACTGAAACACCATGCTGAAGGCACCCAGCACTGCATTCCGCCCGGTCACATTATACTGACAACAGGTGAACCAGTTGTTGCCATTTCCCTAAATGCTGAACGTTAAGCAAGGAATTACAACTACCATTTTAAAGGACTTTGGTATGTCCCGGCCTGGGGAAAGAACCCATAGTAAGAAGTAGAGAGAAACAAAAATTCCAACTATTCCAATTGTTGCAGCAGATTATTTTGATCGAAATAGAAAAATCTACCTTTTTTGCCTGCTGTGTGACACTGCATTGATTACTTTGAATACAACATGGCATACGTTTTTCACCGCCTTGTTTCATTTATGCTTACTTCAGCTTGCCAATAGAGAACTTTTCACTTACAAAATAGTTATACAATTATTGTGCAATAGAAGAAATGAGCTTACATGTAAAAAAAAAATCTAATTTTCCAGATACATGTTTGACGATGATAATTTGCCAGAATGGTTTGCAAAGGAGGAAGCTAAACATAACAAACGAGAGATGCCGGTTACAAAGGTAAGATAGACAGTAGACAGATACATCTGTAGGTGGCATGGTAGTCTAGTGGTAGGTTGCTGGGCTCGTGACCCAAGGGTTGCGGGTTCAAATCCTGTCATGACACTGTGTTGTATCCTTGAAGATACTTTACTCTGCTTGTTCCAGTCTACTCGGCTGTAAAAGTCATTATGAGTACGTGTTTGGGCAGTGCTAGAATTGTTGAATGATAGCTGTGATTGCCTAAATGGCAGCAACGGCTGTATGCTCCTCAGGGAGTTGAGAAAGATATCGGCTTGTTGCAAAGGCCCTATAATTACAGATAATAATTTGTGAACCGCTTTGAGACGACCTACGAACTAGGTTGTGATAAAGCGGTACATAATAACCTCGAATTATTATTAATAATAATCTCTTGTGTAACTTACCTGTAATTAGGGCCAATTTATCTTGAAGGGTCAATTTATTTGTCTGTTATAAAGGCTAGTATCAGTAATGAGGTCCAGGTTATCTGATGGGGACAAATCCCTCTAACTAGGACCAATTTATCTGTAATGAGAACTGATTTATCTGCAAAGAAGATCTGTTTATTTGAACAAAAGTTCAATTTGTCCGTTATGTACGAGGCCCATTTAATCTGTAAGGAAGGCAAATTAATGATGATAAATAATCTGTACTGAGGGCTAAACTATCTAAAATGGGGGACGAATCATTAATAAACCTGTAAAACAGGTTAACTTTAATTAAAGGAAATTCATCTGCTGAGAGGCCATATTCATTTGTGACAAAAGCCATTTGTTCTGTAAAGAGGGCTTATTTATCTGTAATTAGGGCTTATTTATCTTATCAGGGCCAGATTATTGGTGACGAAGACCATTTATAAGTAATGAGGGCCACAACAAGTTCAGGATGCAGCATTTGTACATCATAATTCTACTTGCAAAGTATTCAGTTAGCTCGGGGAGGTTATTGATTTTACTAGTGAGTGGAGGATATTGGACTGGGCGAATACTTCTTTGAATACCTACCATGATAAAATGTTGAAGTCTAACCAGATGTATTTATATATATGAGCATGGTAGAAAGTTATCCTGTTAACTCGCTTCTGTACTTGGACAGCACATATAGATTTCTGACATATAGAACTTTACTGTTATATGTACTAAGGAATTTTGATTTTTTATGTATAAAACAGGAATTAAACTGTTCAAGTATGAATCCACAGGTGATTGTATCACTCAGTTGCCATTTCAATATGTCACAATCAGAAGATGTTTTAATTAGGGTCCCGTATCGGAGATACGGGTGCCCTATAGTAATCACCCTGTCTGTCTGTCTGTCTGTCTGTCCGTCCACAAATTTTGTTCCTGGCTGATAACTTTGGTATTTATTGACCGATGTACATGAAACTTGGTCAAGATGTTCAGTTCACAAAAATACACATTGAGGTAAAAAGTCAAGGTCAAATGTCAAGGTCATTAGGTTCAAAGGTCAAGGTCAAATTTTACATCTTTTCACTGATGAACATTTTGTTATGACATTATGAAGCAAAGTTGATCAGAATAAAACAAGGAGTCAACTGACCAAAGGTCAAGGTCATCGGGTCAGGGGTCAAGGTAAAATTTTGTAGCTTTTCACTGGTGAACATTTCGCTATGACATTATGAAGCAAAGTTGTTCGGAATTGAACAAAGAGACACGCCGAGGTCAAAGTCACTATATTCAAAGGTCAAGGTCAAATTTTGCATCTTTTCACTGATGAACATTTTGTTATGACATGATGAAGCAAAGTTGATCAGAATTAAACAAGGAGTCAACTGACTAAAGGTCAAGGTCATTGGGTCAAAGGTCAAGGTTAAATTTTGTATCTTTTCACTGGTGAACATTTCGCTATGACACTTTGAAGCAATGTTGTTCAGAATTAAACAAGGAGTCAATTGACCAAAGGTCAAGGTCACTGGGTCAAAGGTGAAGGTTAAATTTTGTACCTTTTCCCTGATGAACATTTTGTTATGACATTATGAAGCAATGTTGTTCAGAACTTAACACAGAGTCAACTGACCTTAGGTCCAGGTTACGGGGTCCAAAGGGTCAAGGTCAAGTTTTGTATTTTTCACTGATGAACATTTTGTTATGATATTAAGAAGCAAAGTTGGTCGGAATTAAAGAATAAGTCAACTGACCAAAGATCAGGGTCACTGGGTTAATGGTCAAGGTCATTTGGGTCCAAAGGTCAAAGACAAAGTGGATCTCTGACTTTGACCCTGGCTCTTGATGGAGGAGGTATATAAGGTGAAATAAAACAAATCAAAGCTAACAAATGAGTATTGCACCGGTATTTACATTTCTGTTAGCCCAGCAAATATGGAGGTGGAAGGAAACAAGACTCACATCATAGTACATGTAAAATGAACTTGCGATTCTTTTTGAAGTCCAAATGTCAAACGTCAAGCTCAGCTATATGGGCAGATTGCTTTTTGATGATTATTGGGGATATATTGCCACAAGACGGGGCCCTTACTGACCTGTCAGTGTTCTAGTTTAAATTATGTGTACGATACTAAAAGCAATAAGCTTAAAGTCAAGTACTGTGAAATCAGATATTTTCTTAGGGCCCAAATTTCATGGATTCCCGAAAAAGCACCGTTTCTTGGGTACATGAATTCATGCATTATGAGTACCCTTTCATACGGAGAATAGCTTTATGTCAAACCTGTAGACAGGTCCACGAAATAAAAAAAAAGCTCACGAAAATTAGTGATTTTACAGTATGTGCTTATCATGTGTGGTTACATAATGTCACTAAATCACCAAATACTGCAACAATTCCGTGTTCTGTAATCTGTACTGCCACACTTTTACCACAGGGGGATGTCCAGGAATACCTGATGAAGAAGAGGTCCATTGATGCTAGACCAATCAAAAAAATTGCTCAGGCCAAGGCTAGGAAAAAGAAGAAGGTAAAATATGAAAACTTCTCTGTCTTAAAATATCGAAGAAATTGAGGAAACGAGAACAAACAAAGGAGATTAGACTCATAGCATTGATTAATAACCCTTTCACCCCTGTAGACCAAAATGTACTCATCCATATCAATGTATGGTAAAGTCTACTAAAGTTACATAGGGGCGAAAGGGTTATACAACAATATTTGGCAAAATAAGGGTACTTTCACTCCACTGTACATAACCTAACCTGGAATTTTGAAGTCTCGTTGAAGCAGCGTAGGCCTGGCCGACAACTTGCATGCATTATCAATAGTGTCCATATCAGGCTAATATGAACAGTTTATATACTATATTACTGTATGAACTGTGTGAAAGCATCTTTGGCATATATCGTAATTCCGGTTGAACCAATGGCAAAACAGATCTGTGCCGAAAATACTATAGTTCATGTTCGAGTTTACAGGGCGCCAGGATTAAGCCCTACGTGTATGTGCTACAGCTCCCCCACAGAAAATGGGGGTAGGAGCTGAGTTACACTGAAGTGATCAGGCTCATATGAATATGTGCAGCGTGGCATAGGATATAATTTATTAACAAGTTGACAGACTTTTTAACTTAAAAAGTTGATCTAATAAATTCATATTTGGACCACATTCATCATCTCCAGATTCAAAAAAATCTTAAATTTGTTTTAATTTTACATGAGATTTTTTAAAATTGGTCACAGATATTTCATTTCAAGCAGTCCACATGCCCCTCTCATAAAACTGAAATGAAACTTAAACTTGTGTAGAGTTTTATGTTCACAAAACTATTTCACACCAGGCAGAAACAAAAAATAACAGTGTTCCAAAATATTGTTTTATGGATATTTTCTAGTTGTTTGTTCTATTAAAAATACTTGCAAATTAAGGAAAAACCGAATTCTTCATAATGTAAATAATTATGTAAGCTTTAAAAATGAATCCGGAATATCAATATAAAGCTTGTTTCGGACATCATTTCTTTTTGTTAAATATCTTTTTAAATAAACTTTTTTTTATTTTACAACAATTATGAAACAAGTTATTTCAACTTATATTAATCACTCTTGTTGGCCTTGATGTTTCATGTATGATCGGGAAATCAAACCCCGGCCGCCTTGTTGAAGGGCAAGTGTGCTATCCACTGCACCACCTGACCACCCAACATCATTGTTCAATCGGATATATTTACTTACTGTTCTTTGTAGGAAATGAGGCGTCTTGATAAAGCGAGGAAGAAGTCTGAGGTGATATCAGACACAGCAGACATTACGGACAGGGATAGATGGCAACAGATTAAACAGTGTGTATTATTACCCAATAGACTATATAAATTATAATTAGTCATTTCGAACAATTCCCCAGGGCTTCCCCCTACCTCGGGATGATCGTTTCGACTGTTCCCCAAATAGCCATGAAACAATTGTATACAGTGGATATGGATATTCCCACCCCTCGCAATGCGCAGATACATAAGATCCATCATTTGTTTCTGCTGATCAGAGGAGATAATTGTCTGTGCAATCACTTGCTTTACTTGCCTTGGGTTAACCAGAACTTTCCTTCATACAATGTACATGACTTTCTTGCACAATGCCTTTGTTTGAAAATGGATTTCAAGCCAAGTATTGAATCAGGGTCCCTTTTATTTATAGAAAGTCAGGAAAATGCTCAGTAATATCAAATCACTTTTAGTCTCATATTGATGATTTCCTATGTGCAAAGTACATGTATTGGATGGCGTTTAGGGCAAAAGGACAAAAGTCAAGGTCACTGTAACCTTAAATAGAACTAGAAGACTTCTGTACCAGATATGGATGACCTTGAGACCTTGAAATACCCATTAAAATGGCAGGGGCATAAAATCTTAATTCTTTTGGGTCAGTAAGACTGTAAAATTATATACAAGGCTTCATTGTAAAAAGTAATTTCCAGGTCAAAAATGTCAGAGTAAGGTTTCTGTTACTGTAAATTGAAAATCATTTTTTGTCTTAATATTTTGAGTTCTCTTAACCCTTTTACCACTGTAGACCAGAATGGGCACACCCAGATCAATGCCTGGTAGAGTCTACTCAAGTTCCCTAGGGATGAAAGGCTTAAATCAATTAGACTCAAAAACTTCATAAATGGCTTGATTGAATAAACATCAAATTCAGAAATTGACAATTAACTACTGTAGGGAATCCTTAGACAAATGATTGACTGTAAAATGTGACCCCTGTTTCGTCCCTATCCCCAGGGTTTATATAAAATGTGACCCCTGTTTGTCCCTATCCCCAGGGTTTATGTAAAATGTGACCCCTGTTTGTCCCTATCCCAAGGGTTTATTTAAAAAATGTGACGCCTGTTTCGTCCCTATCCCCAGGGTTTATATAAAATGTGACCCCTGTTTGTCCCTTTCCCCAGGGTTTATATAAAATGTGACCCCTGTGTCGTCCCTATCCCCAGGGTTTATATAAAATGTGCCCCCTGTTTGTCCCTATCCCAAGGGTTTATATAAAATGTGACCCCTGTTTGTCCCTTTCCCCAGGGTTTATATAAAATGTGACCCCTGTTACCCCTGTTTCGTCCCTATCTCCAGGGTTTATATAAAATGTGACACCTGTTTCGTCCCTATCTCCAGGGTTTATATAAAATGTGACACCTGTTTGTCCCTATCCCCAGGGTTTACATAAAATGTGACCCCTGTTTGTCCCTATCCCAAGGGTTTATGTAAAATGTGACCCCTGTTTGTCCCTTTCCCCAGGGTTTATATAAAATGTGACCCCTGTGTGTCCCTTTCCCCAGGGGTTATATAAAATGTGACCCCTGTTTGTCCCTATCCTATCCCCAGGGTTTATATAAAATGTGACACCTGTTTGTCCCTATCCCCAGGGTTTATATATAATGTGACCCCTGTTTCTTCCCTATCCCCAGGGTTTATATAAAATGTGACGCCTGTTTGTCCCTATCCCCAGGGTTTATATCAAATGTGACCCCTGTTTGTCCCTATCCCCAGCGTTTATATAAAATGTGACACCTGTTTGTCCCTATCCCCAGGGTTTATATATAATGTGACCCCTGTGTCGTCCCTATCCCCAGGGTTTATATAAAATGTGACGCCTGTTTGTCCCTATCCCCAGGGTTTATATAAAATGTGGCCCCTGTTTCGTCCCTATCCCCAGGGTTTATATAAAATGTGACACCTGTTTGTCCCTATCCCCAGGATTTATATAAAATGTGACCCCTGTTTGTCCCTACCCCCAGGGTTTATGTAAAATGTGACCCCTGTTTGTCCCTATCTCAAGGGTTTATATAAACTGTGACCCCTGTTTGTCCCTATCCCCAGGGTTTATATATAATGTGACCCCTGTTTCTTCCCTATCCCCAGGGTTTATATAAAATGTGACCCCTGTTCGTCCCTATCCCCAGGGTTTATATATAATGTGACCCCTGTTTCTTCCCTATCCCCAGGGTTTATATAAAATGTGACGCCTGTTTGTCCCTATCCCCAGGGTTTATAGAAAATGTGACCCCTGTTTGTCCCTATCCCCAGCGTTTATATAAAATGTGACACCTGTTTCGTCCCTATCTCCAGGGTTTATATAAAATGTGACACCTGTTTGTCCCTATCCCCAGGATTTATATAAAATGTGACCCCTGTTTGTCCCTTTCCCCAGGGTTTATATAAAATGTGACCCCTGTTACCCCTGTTTCGTCCCTATCTCCAGGGTTTATATAAAATGTGACACCTGTTTGTCCCTATCCCCAGGGTTTATATAAAATGTGACCCCTGTTTGTCCCTTTCCCCAGGGTTTATATAAAATGTGACCCCTGTGTGTCCCTTTCCCCAGGGTTTATATAAAATGTGACCCCTGTTTCGTCCCTATCCTCTGGGTTTATATAAAATGTGACCCCTGCTTGTCCCTATCCCCAGGGTTTATATGAAATGTGACACCTGTTTCGTCCCTATCCTCTGGGTTTATATAAAATGTGACACCTTTTTGTCCCTATCCCCAGTGTTTATATAAAATGTGACCCCTGTGCGTCCCTTTCCCCAGGGTTTATATAAAATGTGCCACCTGTTTTTCCCTATCCCCAGGGGTTATATAAAATGTGACCCCTGTTTGTCTCTATCCCCAGGGTTTATATAAAATGAGACCCCTGTTTCATCCCTATCCACAGGGCTTATATAAAATGTGACACCTGTTTATCCCTATCCCCAGGGTTTATATAAAATATGACACCTGTTTGTCCCTATCCCCAGGAATTATATAAAATGTGACCCCTGTTTCATCCCTATCCACAGGGCTTATATAAAATGTGACACCTGTTCGTCCCTATCCCCAGGGTTCATATATAATGTGACCCCTGTTTCGTCCCTATCCTCTGGGTTTATATAAAATGTGACACCTTTTTGTCCCTATCCCCAGTGTTTATATAAAATGTGACCCCTGTGTGTCCCTTTCCCCAGGGGTTATATAAAATGTGACCCCTGTTTCGTCCCTACCCCCAGGGTTTATATAAAATGTGGCCCCTGTTTGTCCCTATCCCCAGGTTTTATATAAAATGTGACCCCTGTTTGTCTCTATCCCCAGGGTTTATATAAAATGAGACCCCTGTTTCATCCCTATCCACAGGGTTTATATAAAATGTGACGCCTGTTTGTCCCTATCCCCATGGTTTATATAAAATGTGACCCCTATTTCGTCCCTATCCTCAGGGTTTATATAAAATGTGACCCGTGTTTCGTCCCTATCCCCAGGGTTTATATGAAATGTGACACCTGTTTCGTCCCTATCCTCTGGGTTTATATAAAATGTGACCCCTATTTCGTCCCTATCCTCAGGGTTTATATAAAATGTGACCCGTGTTTCGTCCCTATCCCCAGGGTTTTTATAAAATGTGACCCCTGTTTCGTCCCTATCCTCTGGGTTTATATAAAATGTGACACCTTTTTGTCCCTATCCCCAGGGTTTATATAAAATGTGACCCCTGTTTCATCCCTATCCACAGGGTTTATATAAAATGTGACACCCGTTTCGTCCCTATTCCCAGGGTTTATATAAAATGTGACACCTATTTGTCCCTATCCCCAGGGTTTATATAAAATGTGACCCCTGTTTCGTCCCTACCCCCAGGGTTTATATAAAATGTGACCCCTGTTTGTCCCTATCCCCAGGGTTTATATAAAATGTGACACCTGTTTCGTCCCTATCCCCAGGGTTTATATAAAATGTGACACCTGTTTGTCCCTATCCCCAGGGTTTATATAAAATGTGACACCTGTTTCGTCCCTACCCCCAGGGTTTATATAAAATGTGACACCTGTTTCATCCCTATCCCCAGGGTTTACAAGAAGGCTGGACTACTGACAGCAAAAAAGAAAGAGGTAACATATGTGGTGGCTAAAAAAGGAGGAGGCAAGAGACCGCGACGACCTACTGGTGTGAAGGGACCCTACAAAGTGGTGGACGGACGCATGAAAAAGGACATGAAAAAGAAAAAAGAGCAATTAAAAATGGAAAAAAAGAAAGGCAAAAAAGGAGGGAAAAGGATGAAATAAATAGTTTTGTTTTACTTTTGTGATGTTTGGTTATTGTTTAGATATCATAGGCATTAGCCCACAGGTGTACACATTATCGGAGCAAAAACTTGTTATACATATTAATAAAAAAAATCAAATGTGCTCTGCTTGATCTCAGAAACATTAAACAATCTCAACACCAAGTCCAAATTTCTAATGTTGAAAGAACATTTTGTTAAGTACTGAATACATACTTAGAATATGTGTATGCTATATACATATCTAGGAGTAGGTCAAATCAAATTTTAATGATTTTTTTTAAAGACACAAGACTCTAAATCGTTTCATGATTCTGTTTCGGGCCAGGTGCAAATGAAAAAGAAATTCTGAACAAGAAAGTTAAATATTAAACCTGTAATATTAAACTGACCAACAGTTTCATGATGGCTGTGGAGGTCGAGAACTGATCGGTGGAGAAATCTACTAGTTTTGCCTTAGTTGGTGCACATCATTTATTCATGAGCAAAAACGTCCAGTGATCTGAGAATTTATACTGGTATTGCCGGTAGTTACAAGAACATGGTATAACAACTGCACAAGTAGCTACTCAACATCACAGTAATGCTTTCCAATGTCCCAGTTAAATTTCCACTGGATTTTGATTTGATTTGTCTACAAAAATGATGTCCCTAAATCAATACCACAAATAAACTTTTACTTGACCTGATCATCAATTACCCAGCTATGAGGAGACATTTTGTAAGTTTATAATCCAACACACAGTAAAATGCCATTGCCAAATTATTTTACTGGATATTATCTAAATGCTTAAAATAACAAGTTATACCCCCTACACATCGGGATATAAATGGTGTAGTTTTCTGTTTTTATCTAGTTAATCTAGTGAAGCCATCTATGATAAATGTATCCTGTTGTCACCTCATAACGCGACCAAAACAGGAAACTGTCGCTTATATTTAAAATACTTGTCTGTGAATTTGCTTCATAATCATTTCATGTTGGACAGAACAACAGATACAATATTATCTTTTTATTATATTATTTTTCTAATTATATTAGATTTTCAAACCTTTTTTAACATGTGATCCGTTAAATAGAAGTAATAGCCTAAAATTAGCGTAAGCCTCGATTTACTCAACCCACATGTAGTGTTGATGACGTCGTACAATTATGTCTTGTTCGCAGAAAATTTGCATAACCCCCCGCCCACACACATTGTTGTCAACATCATGGAAATTTTTCACATTAACTGGTAACTTCATGCTTATCGAGTGAATATCAGCGTAGACTTTGCTTGTGTAGCAGAACTGGACTGGGTCGATGATGTAGGTGACCAAGTAGCTCAATTGGTACAGCGTCTGTCTAGAGTTTGGACGGTCCCATGTTCGAACTCTGGTCAGGCCGTGTATTTTCCCTCTCCTGTTACAGTGGTGCCTGTGACCAACCCTTGTTTCAAACATTTGGTGTATGCTTGGTAAGGGGATACCCAAACCTGGGTTGTAAATAGAAAAAGGAAGTAAGAATGTAGCCCAACTGGACTGGGTTGATTGTCTGGAATCCGTCTTTGGGAGTTTGGAGGGTACTAACCCCTGTCTGGCCGTGCATTTTCCTCTCCTGTTGCACACAAATTTCTAAATATATATACTTATAGATTCTTGGGTCCCTGTGATTTGAAGGAGTATTCAAGATAGCAGATGTTCATCAGTCAAGTCGCTTTAGTTTGCGAAGATAAGCAGTGACCAGTAAATCGTAACTTATACCTTCAGATTGGACAGATGTAACAAAAGGAAAGAGACGAAAAGCCACAGATAAAATTTTAATATCACAGATTTTATTGCGATTTCTCCATAACAAAACACAGATATTAAAATCTATTACACTGCCCAGAGACATCATACAACAATGTCACCACTAGTTTTCATCATGAGGATCAAGTGTCGACCATCCATTAGAAACAGCCAAGTTTTTGTTCCTAATTTCATAAAATCTTGTCCACATGGAAAACTGGCGAGACGAGTTGCTGTCTGACGAATCTTGACGATATAAATGTATCTTTTTAATGATGGAAATAAATACCAATCATACGATAATGAACAGTTTTACCAGATGTTTCTTACATACAAGCATTCCAACCACAGACATACATAAAGGGGATTGTCAAACCTGAATATTTCTAAAAGACAGTGTTCTGGGATAATGCACATGTACATTGCGTAGATATTACATATATTAGCCTTTATTGGGCACAAAAATATGTTTTATGTTTCATAATGCAGGTAGGGCAATAATGTTTTAGTATTAGAATTAACTGTATAATCAAATATAAATAACTGTTTGCCATTACACTTATTGAATATAATCAAATGTTAAAAGGTCCATTAAAACAATGTTCATTCGTACTTATGCTGCCAGAGCAGATGTATAGACAACTTTTTCACACGCCCCTCTGATTTTACATCTCCCTATAAATCTTCCTTTCCTGAAGCGTTACTTTCCTTTCTGTTGAAACCCTTCTCGGCCATGAGAGCACGGCATCCCTCCAGGTCATATTTCTCCAGATTTATTCTCTATAAAGTGAAGAAAAAAAACCATATCAGTTTATATATAATAGCCAACATCTATATATCAAAAACTTACATACAATTCATATTTGCAATTCCTTTGATAGGTTGTTTCCTTTTAGATAGAAAATTTGCACCATTTGAAGTCCAACCTGAGAATGAGACCACTCTCAGAAATTCCAAAAAGTGGTGTCTTTATACCGTATTGGTTTACAGTGAAACTGTGGTAGTGAAAAGCATAAAAGGCAAACTAAAACCGGTTGGGGACTTGATTAGCTAAGAGTTGATCTATATATTTGTGTATGTATCATTTTCAACTTCTCTGTAATATGATCAATGAAAAATTATTATTTTACCTCCTCGCTTTCCTTGCCCTCATCGATAATCAACACGGGTGGAGCTCCAGACTTCTTGCGGAACTCAACACCTGGACTAGATTTGTTAAGGAGTGTTTAATGCAACAGTAAGAATGCCCATTTCCTCTTAGTCATTTAGAATATTAGGGTCACTTAGTGGTTTCAAAGAATATCAATATTTTATATCAATTTGTCAAGCAGTTGGATCACAATAGCGGAGCACACCCCTCGATTTTCAATTTCAGAATATTTCATTCTATAGGTATGCTTGCATACAAAGCCTATAAATTAAAGCCCTGTTCTCATAGTGTTCAGAATGAGTTAAATAAGATGAATATTTCATATCAGAGTGGAAGATATTACAACTTAATATAAACCACAATTTGATTTCCATTATACTCCTTCGGTTATGCTAGGAGTAAAGGGATTCTAGCGATCAAGATGAAGTATTAATTTGATTGGAAGAAACTATTTTTAACAACTTAATTTCTGTTACACACCAAATGATGTAGAAAGCGTAGAAACATTTCTTCTATCGACTGCTTGTTCAGCCAAGCACGAATGAATTATACTTTTCATAGGATTATAGGGGAATACATATTTTCACCTGCCATTTTAAAACTAAAGATATAATTACATGAAAAACAATACATACAGAGGTCACTATATCTCACCATCTTATTCAAACATTACATTTCTTAACAAGAAGAGATAGTTCTTTTTCACCTCAGCTAGCTGTCAATACATACAAATAATGTACTTCTCATACTCTCACTGTGATAACTGAATATTAAATTGTCTTGTTATTTCCTACGAAAATCTGCCAAATCCTACCATTGTTAGGAATATTGCACCCCAGTAATGCTGTACTGATAATTTTCAGGATTGTTGTTCAAATCTACCAGGGCATGTATTCATGAAACCGTTTTCATGTTCAAGCATAGGTTCTATCCCCCAACCAACTTTCTTGTTATTCGCTAAAATCATGTCAAACGATTGGGAAGCTATTTTTTTTATTTTCAAAACGGAAGGCAGTCTAATTACCCGAATCTGGCAAGACATACTACTCCTTTTTGTATGGAATTTTCTTTCCCTAATAGGCAAGCCTCAATGGTTTTTGGCTACTCGAGAATCCCCCCACCCCATCCCTCTGGTTGAAATCCCCCCACACCACCCCATCCCTCTGGTTGAAATCCCCCCATGAGGATGAAAGATTCTAATAACTATCCAAATANGGGGGGGGACTTCCCGATCTTAAACCCTATAGAGTCTAATGACATGGGGGGACTTCCCGATCTTAAACCCTATAGAGTCTAATGACATGTACAATGTGCATGCAAAAGTTTGAATTAATTGGAAGGATACTATAATCCTTCTTTGACATCGTCAAACAAAAATCTTTTCACCTCAGGCAAGCGATTTAAACGTCATCCACTGCAGCTCTGCAAAATAAAAATGAAATAAAAGGTTTCCCACAATATTATTGTGCTTAATATATACCTGATATCTGCTCATTATTTAATGTTTGTAGTCTAACTTTAAGATCACATTCTTGTCTAACAATTGCAACACGAACATCACATCACGTTCAAAGTAACTTCAATGTGAAAAGTCTCATTGATTTTGCTATATCTGTTCGTTTACACAATTTTTATTATCTTCCGGTATACGTAGTGGACAATTGGCTTACCGGACCAGACCAGACATCTATCTGTCACAATGTGTAAGTCTGGAGTCGGTGCCAGAGGAAACTCGGGCTAATTCAGCCTCATTGTTAAAAGTTTCCTGAGAGATACCAAAGAGAATATTTAACAACAGTGACCGATGAAAAAGCTCAATAGCTTCACAATTCTGTCATTGAATCCAGATATATATTACCTCGACTACAGCCGTTTTGGTTCCTGCTTCGCCATCGGACAAAATTTCCGTGAAGAAAATTGGCAACAGTAACACCACCGCTAACCTCATGTTCATCATTTTGGTCGTCGGTAAGATATCGATCGATCGTCGAAATGTTTAATTTAGATGGATTTTCGTTATCAAGCGTGTTGTATACACAGACAAAGCCACGTCGCAATATTAGAACCAATCGCGGATCGTTTATTTGCGGGTCATTTACTCCCCCCCTCCAGCTGTAACGTTATCCGATGTAGGGCTTATAATGTAAATTATGGGTGTAACATCACTGGAGAGCCAGCTGGTGCTTGCTTTTTTTACCATCACTTATATATGCAGCGAAGAATCGTGTAGGATTCAAAGTTTTGATTATCTCACTAATCTTGTTAGTACAGCCATTCCAAGTTATTGATACTGTTATATACAAGCATTTTTGAAATTATTCAGTTATGTTACTGAAAAGTATTTAAAAGTCTGCCCACCATCACCATGCACCCACTCCAATATTTTCATGTTCTTCCTCACAATTCTTAAGCTACTTGAAGGGGAGCAACCCCTACCAGGGCTTCACTCCTTGACCCAAGCTTCAATTTGCTGGCCAATCCATTGGGCCAGGCTGATATGACCATGTTTTAAAAATAAATTACATTTATAATGAACATATTCTTTTCATATACAATGCATTACTCTATAACTCTTCTTCATTGGAGAAATATAACACAGAGCACCAGCTGGGCTCTACTTTAAGACAATACTCACTCACTGCCTATCACTTTATTTATTTTTCTCACGTGAATTTGTTCCAGTCTCCAGGGCCATCAAGACCATCTGTTAATTGATTTTTTGACTGTATAGAAGTCAGATGTTCATTGTTATTGTTTCAGGCATATCAAGGCACTTAAATTACAAAGAAAATGTATCACTGATAACAAGTTCAAAGGAAAATCTCTTGAATAAATTGTGTAGTCATTACTAAATGTTTCAGTTCTTTGTTAGTTAAATGGATAAACATCTTCAGAATGACAAATAAGAGACCCATTTGGCCTGTATGACTCACCTGGACAAACAATTATGGCAAAATATCTACCCCTGTAATAGAAGTACATGTGTTGCAAATATTTCCTATTTTGTGCTGCTTCGATCTCCATACTAAGTACAACAGCCTTCTTTTATATAAAACAACTGATTTTCTGATATCATGGGTGCTTCATAGCATTATTGGTTGAAATTCAAATTCAATCTCAGATGTTTTTATGTTATACTGTGGGGATCTCAACAAATTCCATGTTATAACATATAACGTAAGGGACTAAGTACCTAGATGGGGCTTGGCCCTGAGGCTTATCCTAGTAGCATGGTTTTATGTACATTTAGATAGGGATCTGTGCCATTTCCAAGATACGGCATGTATTGGGACTTGGTCCCCTGTTAGGATGGGGATTATTTTGAAGTAGAACAGTTGTAGGTACTCCAATTTCCTGTTGAGGCCCCAAATCCCTCCAGCCCTAGGGATCAAATCAACTTGGGTTTTATTTAATATAATCATCTTGCCAAACTGATATCTGATATATCCTCAAAATTCAGCATCTTTTAAAAGGCCTCATTGTTCTGGCCTCGAGTATGTTCCAATCAAAATTTGGTTAATATCTATTAGCCAAACTGAAGGAGTAAGATTTTCAAGATTACCTGTACTTCTTATTTTGGGCCCTGGGGGGTTCAACCTTAGTTTATTTGATGTTGGGTCTCTTGGCCAATGGATTCCCAAGGCTAATTAATCATTATGGTAATATGAATCACCCTATGGTTAAGTGAAACTCACTTTTTTTGTTTTAATACAATTTTTTTCAACAATATCAGTTTCAGTTTATTTCAGGTTGTTCATCTTTATGTGGAATTAGGGAAAATTGGAGAATTTAGGGGGGGGGGAGGGGGGGGGGTCCACTTACTGGTAACTGTTTTCATGTTGAAATGAAGCGTTCACCAATTGTTGGTCTATAATCAACATCATACTTTTTAATTTGATTTGATCCACATGCTGTGAATTGCTGCTGCTCCTCTTTGTCAATAACCATACTCCGGTCCAATATTGTATAAATTGTGTTATTACATTTTGAAAATAAAGTATAGGCCTCATTGGGAAAATTGTTACTTTATGACAGCAATGCTTTAATTCTCTTCACCACTTCTGAGCATTACCTTGAAGAGTATAAACCAGGGGCCTGTTCGTTCATGCGGAACAACGGGTTTGAACGTTTATAAATGTAACAATTTCGGGTATAAATCCTGGCGGACCTGCAAATGTTTATGCAGGCCTTGCAAAGCTTGTCAAGGCTCGCCTGAAAGCAGCATCGGATTACTAGGTCCGACCTTATATCATAAACGAACAACAGTGGTCCGACCTGTTTGACCGATTAAACGAAAATGGCCCTGGCTACACATTTAACGGTAATTTATAACAATTCTCTGGTCCACATTGATAAAGTCGTTGGTTCTACACGACAATAATAAGACTTTGTCACAACTCAAGAACAAAGCCCTGATCAATGTGAAAAAACATAAAACAAAAGTACAATTTTTAATTGAAATATGTACATTAATTTTATTTTTTCAGCAGAAGGATAAATGCTTATATCCCATCAACAACTTCTTTATCAAAATAATTAGTTTACAGTGAATGCTTTAAAAATAATTACTTTTTTTATTTTGTTAAAAACGCTACTTGTTTTAAAATATCATGTGTTTTAAAGGCTTTCCGTCTATAAATAGATCTACAGCGAAACCTGTATTGAAGATTACCTGTCTATAACAATCAAATCTATAAATATTATCTGTCTGTAAAATTAAATAAGATTTGGTCAATACATTTTTTGAGGAAAAGTCTTAATTTCCAAAAAGGAAATAAGATGGAAAAAGATGGAAAAAAATGAACAAAGATACAGGTATGTCATGTATGTAAATATTTTGTTTAAAAAATAATGATTATATTATATATATATTATTACACATTAACAGACTGGTTTGAAAAATAATATCATTCCTTTAACTTGAGCCGGTATACACATTGCATCAATACGAAAGTATAGAGTGATCTACAGAAAATATGACAAAGCTATATAGGTCCATAGTTTATCATAGAACCTATGGCAAGTATATAATTCATTGTAACCTCATTACATGTATATAATTTACTTCAATGTAAACTTATAACATGTATATAATTTACTTCACTGTTACCTTATTACATGTATATAATTTACTTCACTGTAACCTTATTACATATTATATAATTTACTTCACTATAACCTTATTACATGTATATAATCTACTTCACTGTAACCTTATTACATGTATATAATTTACTTCACTGTAATCTTATTACATATTTACAATTTAAAGAGATCAATATTTGCATATCCCTACCTTCATATATCTTCAATACTCATTCAGATCAATGAAAATTATCTATATAAAATATAAACATAAAAAAGCTATGTTTTCATGAAAAAATGAAAAAAACTTGAGTCATGTAACAGAAACAATGAAATGAAGCTCTCAGAGACTTGAAAACCTACAATCACAAAGTAAATGCTTAGCAAGGAATTACCTGGGGGTATAACTACACTTAAAATTTTTAAAAATGTAAACTGCTGCAATTACAAAAACTATACAATATACGCTGTAGATAAAGTAAGGAAGACGGTCATGTACACCACTTAACTAGTATCCTGGAGTCACATGTGTACAGTGTGGTTAATTTTTGACTAGATTCACCCTTTTTAGGACTTCTAAACAGGACCAACATGATCTCATTTATTGATAACACTCACCAAGTATATATCTTTTAGTATATTCACTCTCACAGCAACCACACTCCACTTCTTTACCCTCATAAACACAGTACTGGTTTTGACTCAGTAGGTAGTATATGACATTACCTAAATAATCCACATAATAACGGCAAGCGCCCTGGGCGTAAGATTTGGGAAAGTAAGAATTTGTATAGCCTTTCAAATCTTTCCCCAATTAGCCATAATGGTAAGTAAATTCTTGTAATGAATGAGAATGAAAGAATGAATGATTTGGAGTTTGAGAGAAGAAATGAAAAAGAAAGCAGGAATAAAGGGGAAGAGGCCTCCTGTGTGAGGTTATATGACGTAAGAGGGATGATCCCGTGGCACCCAAACCCTGGCATCCTCCCCAAAAGATGCTGGGGAAAGAAAATCCAATTTGAACCTAAAAAAAAGGCCTTGATGATAACAGACAAGTGCTTTTTCTTAAGTTTATATGATGATGGGTAATTAAGGATAAAATAATATTATTTTACATTACGTCAAAAGATCACAACTGCTCTCAAATTTATTTCCACTAAAACTCCGACGTTTATCTTTTCAAAAGATATGTCTCATTTTAAGTACCTATGGTTATTTATTACAATGGAATGAGAAGCACAGACTAGAAAAGGGATAGCAAGAGTTTCTAAGGGATGAAGTATTTATCAGGTGGAGTACAGTTATATGGTACTGAGATTATTGGTGTACAAAATTAGAATGCTTGCTATTCATTTATTTTTAAATTGAAAATGTACAATGACATTATTTTGAGATTAGAGTATAAAATTAGAACGCTTGTTATTTATTTAAAAAAAATGAAAATGACACAATAATATACAATTTCTCATATTGTTCATGTTCAATATATTCAAATGTAATGTTACAAGTAAATTTATATAGTTGTTAAATGGGCTTGAGGAAAATGATTGTTTTGTTGCACCAAGAGGTCAGATTATCCTAAAATTTCAGTCAACAAGCGACAGGTTTGGAACGACTGTACAAGTTACACATTTCAAATGATGAAACATTAACCCACAGTCTCTATCAGTAGTAAAATAATGAAATTAGATTTCAGTGTTTTCATTAAAAAGTGCACATATTCATCATTCAGTTAAAAAGTTATTTTCAGACATGAAATTCCTGGAAATAGAATATTTGTGCATTTTTGAATAAAAAGAATTGAATCTAAGATTTTGTGATTTTACTTTTGAAAATGAGGTCATCACATTAATATAGAAACTGTTAAAATAAGGAATTATCACACAACTCCAGGGTTTTTACCATCTTCAAGAAAGCATAAAAAATGATGTCAACACCATATCTATCACGGCCAAGTGTCACAGAGACATGCTCAAGTGGTATACACTCTGCTTAGTGAATATCCATGTACATACAAAATATCTAGTGTGTTAATGTTATGATTTGAACACAAATTTGAATACAAAACCATTTGTCGAAACACAGGCATTTCCCTGTGTGGTAAGTGTGAAAGTATGAAAGAAGTCTTCCCTGCCCTACTATTATTATAGTACTGTAGACATTGTAGTAGGGTAGGGAACAGCCCTTGACAGAGAGATGTCGCACACCAGACATCTTTCTGTCAAAATGTCTAAATCTGGCGTCAGGGACCAGAGGAAAATTGGGCTAGGTATAGGGACGACTTATTTCATATTCTTACAATCAAGTTGCAGATGCTTGTGGTTGAAGTGGGATAATTTAATTCATTGTGACCTTAAATGACTTTTAGTCGTGGATCAGGAAAACTGGGTACAGGACACACAATGATTCGATTGAAGTGATGACTAGTACGTACTAGTACGTATACCTGAGCAAAGATTGATCAAAAGTAGAAAACCAATCGGCATCGAACAAACATTAAGCAAATCTCGTTATAAAATTAACTGAAATTTGGCAACATTATGAAACAAGCTTTAAACTACAATGAATAGCTCTTGTGAGTCTAAATGGAAGCCTGCTGGGGTCTTAATATGGAAGGAAACTGGACAGAGATAATCCATGAGGTTGAGCTGGTGACCCCATACTTTTTTAACATCCAATGTGTGAATTGAACCCTCATCATCTTGTGGTGAAAGGTGAGTGCACTAACCACTGGCCCCGGCCACATGGCTAACAATAGGGTCCTCTTTCAGTTTTACTGGCCGAGGACTGATAAGAATAGTACATTTTAATGCTGTGAGGAACTGTTAATTGGGGAGGAGAATCGTCTCGTTCTTACACTAGAAGGACTGCTCCTACTACTACTACTACGGTTAGAAGAAGAGGTAGGCCTGGCAGAGCTCATCACATAATCATGCAAGGCCTTCTTGTAAACCTCTACCTCCCCGCTGACCAAATCTACGACGGACACGCCACGGTCTGTTAACAAGCTCTCCATGTAGTTTTTGTTTCCTTTGGCTGATTCCTCCCGTATGACTAGGGCCTCGATAGCTTTGTAGCAATCCAGGTTCCACGACATAGCTGCATAATGGATGCAGTGCATGCCAAAGTTATCTCTAATGGACAAAAGGGATGGATATTTTTCACACAAATACATGCAAATAGCTTTGCTTCCAAACCAGCAAGCCCTAACCAGTATTGTACCATTGAATTGACTAGTGACTTCCTCCATGAACAGCTGGCGCTCTGAGTAAGTCTTACCTGCAAGTACCAATGATTCGATGGATCTGTAAAATTCTAGATTACCAGGTTCAACCGTGTAGTGAAGAGAGTGGCGTCCCCTTTTATCTCTAAGAGACAGCAGGGAAGGGTAGGTTTTACAGAGATACATGGCGAGATCTTGATTTCCCGACTGACATGCCACATGTAGAACTGTGCGCTGGTCATTTGTTATCAGACTGTCCATAAAGTGCCTTATCTCTGACCCGTTCTTATCTTTTAGAACAAATTTGGCCAATGCTTCAAAACAGGCTTGGTCACATGTTACGGCTGCAAAATGGAGACAATGAAGTCTATTCCTGTCCCTTTGAGATAACAGAGATGGGTATTCCTGACATACAAAGATGCATAACTCTTTACATCCAGACTCGCACGCCCAGTGTAAGACTGTCCTCTGATACCTAACGTCCACCAGTGCGGCCATGAAACATTGACATTCTTCCTGGGTCTTCTCCCTCAGAGTTAGTGCCGCTATATATTTGAAGCAGTCCAAATTTCCAGACATGGCGGCGAAATGCAGAGAATGTCGTCCAAACTTGTCAGTATTCGACACGAGAGATGTATATCTGATACAGAGATGTTCACACAGTCCCAAGCTACCAGACGCACATGCAGCGTGCAACAGAGTTTTACCGTCCACATCTAACAGAGACTCGATGTAGTGTTGGTCTGTTCCAGTGTAACCCTCCAGTACTAGTGGCTCCACCTGCTGGTAGAGCGACAGGTTTCCTGTCCTGGCGATGAAATGAAGGCTGCTGTAACCATACCGCCCATCTTCCTGTAAAAGAGACGGATATTTCTCCAGCAAGAAATTCACCATTTCTTGATGCTGAAACAAACATGCCTCGTGAAACACGTTGACGTCTTCCAACTGATAACCCGACCGTGACATTTCTGCTCTGGATGTCGGGATAATGTCATAGCGATCTAACTTGTGTAGTAGATCTGTTTTACCACCCTCTACTGCGGAAAAGCATGAGCTTGAATCGGGTATCACACCGGCCTCTAAGAGAAGAGACACACATTCCTCACTTCCTGAGCTTATAGCTTGATCCAAGGCTTTCTTCAATTGCCCCGCAGAGGCAAAACTTCTGTCAATCAGCCGTTTCAGTAAACAGTAAGAGTTTACTTTTGCGACAACAACAAAGAAACAGCTTTGTTCGTCTTCATTCATCTCTTGATCGAATACACCATCACAGTCATCGCTCATCTCGTTTCCTGTTTTCGGTCGAAAGCGGAAATCTTCTGGCACAGCGACTTGTTCATCAATCCACTCAAAAAATCCTGACAAAAACTGACCGTCACTCCAGGGTATAAGAGAGGCTATGACACTTAACTTTGCACCATCCCCCAACTTCAATTCTTCAAATATGCGTTGATACACATATTCATATATACCCTCATCCACGACTATCTTGCACGATGTTTCCTTACACTTAGGTGTCGCAATGTAACGTAAACACTCGCTGTTACAGTACTTCAGGAAGCCCTGAGGTGTGAGCTCCCCGTAGAGTATGGCCACTGCATCCTGTGTGGAATCATGAAAAAAATGGTAAACACCTTTTTCTTTCCTTACGAAGGAACCACACAAAGACTCTAAACCTTTCTTGATGCATCTGAGCTTTGAACCTAAATCTCCATTCAAGCTCTCCTGAATTTTTTCTGACATTGACATGTTGAAAACTTTCTCAACTGTTATTTGGTCAATACTTTCATTTTCCAAATCAAGTTGTTTGGCAGGTACATGTCCGTGAGACAGGAAGAGATAGAGAAGTGCTTTTTGTTGCTCTTCGTGAAATTTCCCTTTTATCACATCCCTCATGTATTTCAATGGATGTTTGAAAAAGTTGACCCTTTTGTGTTGTAGTTCTGAAGTAGAAGCAAAAACCCGACAACACTCGGGAAACCCAATTCCTGGAGATGTTCTTAAAATTTCAGCAATTTCTCTTTCGGAAAATTGTTGAAAGTTTCCCAATGTAGTCGTATACATTTTCAAAATACTTTTCTTTTCATCCTCCAATGAAAATTCAGTAGAGCTCAGATCAATGACATTGTCTTGCGTAAACAAGACCTGCCCATCAAACATGGATTTGTGTTCGTAATATATGTCATTGCGTACGGTGATGATCAAACAGTTTGCCCTGTCATTCCCTGCTCCCTGTAAACAGGGCCTGATGAAACTTTCGCGCTTTTTCCACCAATTTATCTCTTTTTGAATTTCGGACCCATAACCGAACAGGTCATCAAACAAAATGGCTAAATGGGAATTCGGTGAAATTGTATTGTCCCATGTCATCAAGTCTGTGAGCGAAATCGGTTCTTTTTTCGGACAGCTTGTCTCCCCGGTTTGTCCGATGTCCATGTCATGTTCGTTCATCAGCCAATGCAACAGTTCTACAGCTAAACGGGTCTTTCCATCTCCGGAATTTCCTCTAATTATCAAGCATTTGTTCTTCAAAATTTTCTCCTTGGCAACTGAGATGGCTTTTGTAGGTACATAGGGCTGTCTCTCTCTTTGATCCAAAACCCAAGCTTTTGTTTGATCTACAAAATAGACACACACATGCTAAACTATTTACAGACAGATTTACCTATTTTCTTAAAATAATGAACTGATCACACTTCCAGTAATCACGCCTACTTTTAATCATGCTCTACCCCAAGATAATCCCTATCAATAATCCATTTGGATTTTGTCATTGATAAAAATCAATTTCATAACCCTGTGAGGTACCGGCTAATTATCATTTAAACACAGTCCTGAAAGTTGAAAAGTTGTTTTTGATATATTTGACCAAGTAAGTTTCCTTGACAAATATGTAACTCATTCACCTCTGAAATTTCACAATGAACTACACCAAACTTTTGAATTGGAGGAGTTCAAACTTTTTTTTTCAGGGGTGAATGAGTGAAATATTTGTCAAGGAAACTTGCTTGAACAATAATTAATCTAAGCATCCATGCCTAATGCTTCGTGAGAAGAACTTTTCAATACACTTAGCTCCTATTGCTTAAATATGGGTCAAGGCAATTAGGTTAAACTAATTCATTAGCCTTACCCTGCAGCAAGCAAGCTACAGGCAAAATATCATAATGGCTTAGAGATCTATCTAAGGGACGTTTCAGGTAACAGCCCCCAACAAAGTCAGGCAGGATATAAATCAGCTCTGAAATCTCCATGCCTGGATTTGAAGGCCATTGGGTCAACCACTAATTCCAAGGGAAAATTTAAGCCAGATTGTCCCCAAATCACTATACACCGGGGTAATATCATTATCTCAAATTGATTCTTCGTAGAAAATCAAAGGAAGGGTCATAAATGCATCTATTTCATCACAAACAAAAACCCTTGTATTTATATACTATTATAACCGCTTGTGAAAATATTCTTGTAGCACAACCAATAAGTGTTTATAACCGCATTGATGCATTGACAAAAGCTTTGATTCTGATCGTTTTGTAATGTTGTGGTCTATATGCATATTTTCCCCCAATATTTGTTAAATGACCCAAAATTTCCAAACTGAAAAGGCATCAGCCCATAAATAAATACACACCTATCAAGCAGCTCTGCTTTGATAAATCCAGACCCTTTCTGTCTGTAATTGAAAGAAATGACACAGATTACACATCACATGATTCAGAAGTATATACAGTAAAGTTCTGGATTTCACTAGTAGTACCCCGTGATTAGCAAACCACCAGCAATAGAAAAGATTCTAGATTCAAACTGATAAACTGAATGAAATATTTGACTTTCAAGTCTCAACAATACAAAATATTTTAGACCAGTGAATTGAAGAAAATATTCGATTTCAAAGCGTCGAAAATACATAAAATCATAGACCACTATGTCATTCCGTTTCTAATCCTAGACTATTCAAAACATTTGGAACAGTTAATTAAGGTAAACTTTCAATTTCCACACCTTAGAAACACAAAACACACAAAACAACAGATTGCCCGAAAAATTCACAAATTCCAATCCTTGGAAAAGGTGAAACATGCTGTAAATAATTTTGTTGTTGAGAATATTCCCTTTTCGTGATTACACTTCATATATGCCTTAATAAGAAGAGGTGTGTACATTTTTTGTACTGTGTCGTAAAAAAAAATTGCCAGATTATGAGAAAGTTTTGATCAACCTGCCATCAAATCTCCTCACTAATTCATATTATCTATTTCAGAGAATTTATGTGAAAATGGTCAGTATTCATTTCTTTTCATATTCAGATTTTAAAAGGTGTATAGTACATGTATATGTTCAAAGTACAATACTGTTATTTTGCATTTCCAAAACTATGTTTTTATGAAAGAAGTGACATTTACAAGTTTTTTTCAATTCTTTTTATTTCGTTTTGCTTGTTTGTTTTACTTGGACCTACCTCCAGCGTTGATGATGCTGCCTCCCTCGCCGAAAACCATGTTTTCTGCATGGTCAAAGTTGAAAGTCATCTGGACATTCTGGACATTAGAGGATTTCTGTATCACTTGGTTGGACATCTCACCAAAATTAATCACTGAAACAAAAACAGGAAACGTTTCAGTCTCCTTAAAACATAAAAAAAAATATAAACTTTATTTAACATTTATGAAACATGTTATTTCAACTTATATTAATCACTCTTGTTAGCCCTGGTGTTAGCGCGTGGGGGTCTTAGTGTGGGAGGAAAGCGGAGTAGCCGGAGAAAACCCATGTGGTCGGGCAAGTGACCCCAACGGTTTCACGTCCGATCGGGGAATCGAACCCCGGTCGCCTTGGTGAAAGGCAAGTGCGCTATCCACTGCACCACCCGACCACCCAATCTTCTTGTTAATTCTGATATTGCGGATTAAAGGTAGAGGGCAGGGCAAAGAGAAAATAGGATCTAAACACACCCACCCTTTACCCCTACTCCATTGTACCCCAATCCCCTAAAAATAAAAATAAACATGGATTTATGCCTGTTTCAGAAGTCCTGCACGCACCAATATTTCTTAAAACAGTTGCCAAACAGGTTAGATTCATTTTGTTAAAACACCTACTACAGTGATTTTTTTTTTTTTTTACATGAACACCTGTATTCATAAAATAATCTATTACAGAAATAATCAATACTTATGTCAAATAAATTACCAGTTTGTGAACAATGTGAGTTACAGGGTGTTGCCGTTGCCATAGGTACGATCGCAGTTTGTCCTGCCGTAACTATCACGCCGTCATCATCAGTGTCAGTTGTCTCCTTTTGTTCTGGACTTGATTTGCTCCTGTCCGCCATTTCTCATCAGTTTTCTTATCGGGATAGGCTCCCTGGAAAATACAAGAAAAAATGGCGTCATTATGTAGTTAAAATGTTCTATCAACGTCCGACATACAATTATTATAAACTTCATTTATACAAACTTTAACTCATTCACCCCTACATCTTTAAAATGGATTTGCCCAGTGTTCGATTTGGTAAGGTTCAAATGTGACTTTAGTGGTGAATGGGTTAAGTACTACCAATGGAATCCTGTAAACCTGCACAGCTTAATCTGAAAAAAAACATTGAAACTAGAACTGTCGTCTATGGGCTAACTAATACCCCCTGCATTCTTGCTGCGTGTTGCTCGTAGGATGCTAAACTAACAAGTGAAAACATTTATAGAAAGTTCAAGGGTCATGAAAAAGTCCAACCTCAGATGTTGAACCATCAGACGAATGAAAAAAACCAAAAACACCGCTACTGTGACCTTTGACCTGATGACCTCAGAATTTTGTCACAATGTAGCCTGCATAATTGGCTACAATACTCTAATATATGTGTATACAAAATATCCACCATTTCCGAGATAATTAGCCATTGCAGTAACGTAATTCATAGGTGACCTTTGACCTCTCACCCCACAATCTTGAGATTTTTCAGTAGAGTAGCTTGCATTAATGCCTAAAATATTCCAATGTATATATATGTATACAAAATACCTACCATTTCCAAGATAATTAGCCAATTCAGTAATGTAATTTATTTGTGGTCTTTGACATTAAATCGCACGATCTTAGGAGTCTCCAGGCTCTATCTCCTGACAGTCATAATATTAAGACAGCCACTAAGGAACTTCTACAGACTCAATCTCATGACAGTTATAATATTAAGACAGCCACTAAGGAACTTCTCCAGACTCAACCTCCTGACAGTTATAATATTCAGACAGCCACTAAGGAACTTCTCCAGACTCAATCTCCTGACAGTTATAATATTAAGACAGCCACTAAGGAACTTCTCCAGACTCAATCTCCTGACAGTTATAATATT